CCGGGTGGGGTGTGTGTAAATGTATCCCCACAACCAGTCCAACCAAAAAGTATCCATTGCTAGAGCCTTGCAGTCGAGGAACAGAGCCATGTAGGGCGGGAAGATGTTGGTTTCATGGCAATACAAAGAGAATCCACTTTGGGGCAATCGAATGTCCTGCAAAGCCACCAAATGGGTATGTCTTCGACAGTCTACTCCATGGACATTGCATGGAACCTAGATAAACCTTCAGTGAGATTGTTGGAAATGCCCAACACACGGGTGCATAGAAAGCAAAACCCCAAGAATCCAGAAAATGAGCCACGTGCAACATTCGGCACTATATGGGGTAAGACCGATGAGGTCCACCCATGGTTCAGGCAATGAACCACCGGGGGGAGCAGTTAAAGTAGAACCAGAGCACAAACTTCAGGGGAAATAGGAGTTGTTCAAACCCAAAAAATTGAAGATGAATTTAAGGTCTGTCAAGTCCTCCTTCAAGACTGGGACCAATCAGAATGCCCAACAAAGGGATGAGGCTGGATGGACCATGTCCAAGTCAGACCACATTACAATGACCTTATACAGCAGTAGGGATCAAACCTGACCTGCTAGCTCCACTCTCAAAAGAGGGGGCAGACCTGACCAATTCCACTACTAGTCAAGGGAAACAACCCAAATAGTCGACTAACTACAGGACAAGGAGTCAGCAAAGCAAGCGAGACTACCTCCCATTGTGTATCAGAAATGAACTGTGAAATGGCTGAAGTGAGCCATGAGAGGCACCATCCTTCCATGATACAAGAGAGTGGTGACGAAGAGTGGAAGAAGAACCCCCTGCAGGAAGCACAACAGCCTATGAATCTGGCAACATGACAGCCTACCCCAACCAACAGCAGGCATTGCACAAGCCCTACCAGACTGCCTCCAAGAACAAAGAAAGAGAACCCCAGGTAATCAAAATTTGAGAAATTGGATGCCACAATGTAGCAGCCCTCTAAAGAAACTAACTATATCCTCAGGGAATAGGGGCAAATAATGGAGAGGCAAACAAAAGGGCTAAGGACCAAGTCAAATCTAAGGACTGGGCTAGGATGGCCTGCCAACATGCAAGATAAGCATGTAAAACATTGCCACCACCACTACGACACCGCAGGCACCAAGGCTTTGCACCCGGATTCAAGTCAAGTGAATCCACGTCCTCATGAAGTTTATCAAAGACTTCCATGAGGTCCTAAAAATGCATGACCTTTGCCAAGTTCATACATGCCCTGTGATTCTGTGCGATAATGGCTGCAGAATGCACAGGCAGCTGAATATTAATATGAAGCTGCCACTTATCAACATCCTTGGCAAGACCAAAAGCAAACACAATCAGTCCTTGAGTGAAGAATAATGAGGGAACCAAGAACACCAAGAAGACATTTAAGTAACATGAAGTGTCCAGTGTATAAGAAAGACAATCCCTATCAGGCCTTCCAAAGATGAGGTGTGGGTTGTCAGCCAGTCAGGAGGAGTCAAGTACATCATAACGCATCCAAAATGGTGATGCCGACTTGAACTCAAAGGATGCAGAAGTCCATGAAGAAAGCTGGATCCATCAAGGAAGTTAGGCCCAAATTCTGCAGCAAGTACCAAAATAGGTCCTCACAAACACTGCAGGGAAAACTCGGGAAGAGGAAACCACTTGAAAGACAAATCTGCAGGACTGAAAGGTACACAGAAATAGACCAAGGGAAAGCAGCAGATATATCAAATTCATGCTTAGTGAGAGGATAAGACGACTCCTCTCCTGTAAGCATACAACCCCTCTGATGGAACAAAACACTAAGAGGAATCAAAAGGCATTCAAGAGGCTAATTTTGCCAACTTCCAGCCACAGGAGCCTGCCATGAAGGCTTTGGAGTACAGCCAAAGTCCTTGCCTAATGTCTGGCAAAGAAAGATGTATTGTAATCCACAAGTTAGGAGAAAGTATTAACTAGAGAATCAAACACTACAACACTTAACAAATGATGATTGAAAGGAAAAGTAGTACATGTTAGTAATCAGACTGCGGTCACACATCGAGGTAAGGTCAGAGTGATTAAGACCGTCTTAGCTCACCCAAACTTATGTTACAGCCAGGTCATAAAGGGTGATCCAAAGTTCTTGTTCCAAGAAGATTGACATTTAATCTGATTATACCCTTCTTGGGATGCTGGGGTGTGGTGGTGAAGGTTGTGACCGCTGGACGGTAGTCTTGTAGAAGCAGAGGTTCTATCAAGTACTCCTCCTCTATATCCACCTGTGGTAGCGACGAAGCGAAACCAACAAAATGTGGGAACCTGATGTGATCTTGTTGACCAGAGTTGAATCTGCAGTGTGAGAGTAACCGGGTATGGAGTGTTGTAGTGATGATTTGGAGTTTGGGACTTAGGCTGAGGTTATGAGTTCTAGATGGTGATCCAGTAGGTCCAGTGTGTTTATTGGTAAGGGTAGCTAATTTAACAAAATTGGATATGTTATATTGTTAATTATTGTGCAAGTATTTTATATAATTAAATTAGAAAACCTGACAGCCTTTAATCACCTTCTGTATGTTCTCACATGAAAGTTCCAGTACAAACCTATTGGTATGCCTCAAGGGTCTGGGGTGTAGAAAATAGATTGTGGGGAAATAACTATTCATGAGGCAAATGAGATATGGTTGGGAAAATGTTGTGTCCAGAATGAATCTAGGCTCAGTGTTCATGACAGGTGTCCTCCCAAGGAGGAAGCACGGAGGAAGAATGCAGTTTTATAGAGGAAACTAGACTTGGTGGAACTAAAGGGCTCGATTGCCTCCACACTGGAGAAGGGGCAACCCACGGAACTTACAGAGTTAAACCGCGAGCTAAACCCTGCCCCAACTCTGAAACCCTCAGATGCTTTGGAGCTGGAAGCAGGGAAGAAGGAAGGACAAAAGAAAGGTGCACCACACCTGCAAGGGATTGAAGAGAAGGCATGATGGCAACAGCCAAGGTGGATCACCATCACCTCCAACTCGGGTCCCTAAACAAAGATACGTAGCAATTCCAGGGTATCCATCCAAGCAAATAGTTGTGAATGTTGAACCCGGTCAAATTGAGCCCATAAAGTGGCAGCTCCTTTATATACTTTCACTTCAGAAGCAGGATCAGAAAGGGCCACAACCCATAGGGATCAAATCCCATAAGATTCCTTGGTTACCTTGAGGTGCTTCCAGGGCTTAGCGTCCCCTCGGCCCGGTCGTCGACCAGGCCTCCTGGTTGCTGGACTGGTCAACCAGGCTGTTGGACGTGGCTGCTCGCAGCCTGATGTACGTATCACAGCCTGGTTGATCAGGTATCTTTTGGAGGTGCTTATTCAGGGTCATGTTGCCCAACGGGCAACATGGCAGAAGTATAAAAAATGATTGTTGCCATGTAGCAAACACACTGTGTGAGAGCAAGCTTGACAGGCCATTCTTTATACATAACTGGCCTCTTCAGAGACCCTCGGGAAAATACCAGGGACTGCTAGTTATATCCCAGATAGATGCTCTCAGGCACTGGGGATGCTTGCTAATAGAAAAGAAACAAAAAACAGCCCAGTGAACCAGGGGCCAGATTCACGAAGCAGTTACACAAGTACTTACAAACGTGTACATCTTTGACGGTTTAGGTTACATTTATTAAACAGTTTATGAGCATGAAAACTTCCCAATCAACTGTTGTTATTGTTATAAACAGCCTCCTGATGCTTCGGAGCTCATTATTTGCTTAATAATTGTAAACAAAGTCGCCAAAGATTGAGAAAAAATAGACAGGTTCGTAAGTACTTGTGTAACTGCTTCGTGAATCTGGCCCCAGGGCTGCAAAAGGCGACTGCAGTGTGCAACAAGAATAGAGCATGTGAGCACCAAGTGCCCCCAACACAAGTGACTTGCATGCTACCAACCACAGGTCTAAACAGAGAAGCCAAAACAACACTTAAAATACTCAAGGTAAGGAACGTCACCCTGGTGGCAGGGCCCTGAAAGTGTGATCTTATGAACACATCAAAGTCACTATCAGTGCATGGGTAGCAGTAAACAAACACCAAGGGAAGTAACCACTTGAAACATTGTAGTTTAGAACACAAATTACCAAGTCCAAACAACACTGGACAGAAAACACACATGTGAAGCTATATTGGAATGATAAACAAGCAAATGGTCCCCAAAGGGTAAGTCCTAGGATGAGCAGCACTAAGTTTAGAAGCACTAGGCAACACATGAACAGAACTGAATGACAAGTTGGCAGAGGACTGAGCTCTAGGCTGCTTGATGGCAGTGATTAGTTTTAATGGCTTCAAGCTAGTTTTGAACGAGTTGTTTTATTTTGTTTGAATAGTTTGGGGAGTTGTTTGGCAGTTTCAAGGTTTTGGTTCTTGTGAACCTAGCAGTTGTCTTATGTTTCACCGACTTTCTGAAAGTTTTCCTGACGAAATGTCAATGCCATTTTCTCTCTGGACCCCAAGGATGGTTGGCTGTGGTCTCTGGCAGGCCAAACAGAACTCCTGTGACTGATATAACTTTGTAGTATGAAGCAATTTCAGCCAGATAGCTACAGGGAGCCATCAAGGGGTTCTCCCCAGAAAAAAATGAGTTAGAAATTGTTAGAAAGAAAATAAAATTAAATAGACCGTTACAAAAACAAATTTTATTCATCCTCTTAACCTACTCATTCACAACTCTCAATTTTTAGGTTATAGGGTGGCAGAGTGGCTGCCCCAAGAAGCTGGCAATGCACTGACTTACAATCCAAATCTCACTGACAGCAGTGACATTCTAATTCACTTTATATTGTTTTCTAGATAACAATCCACAATCTAATATATCAGTTGTCACAGAGATGCTATCTGACAACCAATAAGAACAAATCAAATTTATATAATTTCATACCATTCACCAAGTATGACACTTTGAATAGGCAATTTTTGCCAATGCAAAAAAAACAAATTACACACATTTGAATCCAACCATCTCGGGTCAATTCTTACCATCTAATCCCAGTAATGCATGAATGAGAAGAAAAAATAGATATACATTATACAACTTTTTTATGCTAAGCTAAAGTTAAATCCATTATTTTCTGAAAGATAATAATAAGAATTATTCATTAAAATTGTTTCTAGATATATCCACAAGTCAAAAAATGTTTCAGGTCTAAAACTATAAATATACAAGAAATAATGCATTTTAACACTTTAGTACTGTGTTAAAGTAGATTATCAAACATATTTACCTGCTCTTGAATCCACTGTGAATGAGGCCTCGACCTTGCAATGTGTAGCTTGAGCTCCTCATCCTTTGTTACAACCTTCTCAAGTGTGTCTACCAGCAACATGCGACCAGGCTTAAGCCGACCCTGGAAACCAACACAGCAGATATAGTGTGTGTGAGTAAACCAATATGCAATGGGAGCCAAGGCTGAGACAGGCACACTTCTGCATCACACTACAGTACTGTAGTAGTAGACTAAGCCACACGTGTGGACGAGCAAACATGGTTTCTTACACGTTTCCTCCCCACCCAGTGTGTTTTTGGCATTATTTTGCTATTATATTCTACAGTAAAATTCAAGAAAAAAATGGAAACAATCCAAAAAGAAGTATTTGCAATAATAATGGATTCTGTGCCTGGCTTAGCCAAGCATAAGGTAAACAAAAGGAAATCAAGATAGCACAACTGGAGGAAAGGTCAACTCTTCTCCGACTTTGCCTGCACCTGAAAATGTGAAAACCAAATATATGTAGAATATTTGTAAATATTGCATTGACAAAATGATGGTGCACATGAACATATTAATAACACTATTATACACATATTGATAATTTGGTAACTTCTCAGCAGGTCTCAATGTTGAAGTGGTGTTGGATCAACATCAATAATGTTTATCCACTGTTGGATCAACGTTATTGATATCGGTTCAACGTCACTTCAACGTCAAGTGTCTGCCGGGTAATCTAATCTAGCAATGAAAATCACGGTGATGTAAAAAAATGTGTGCGGGTCCTCTTGGCCTTCTTACCTGATAAAACTTACCTGAGAAGTTGGCAATGGGAGACCTTGTAAAGAATCATATCAGTCAAAGTCAGTAGCCAATAAAGCTTTACTAAGAACTTGATGTGGAAATGTTAAACAAATAAACCGTATGATTCTTGAAAAAATCTAGCCCATTACAGACACAGCACAACAGCCGACACCACGACCTCCAGACTCTCTACTACCCGTTCCTGATCCCTGGGGGATGATCATGAAAATGAAACGCTATATTTGTGACGGAAAGATGGTCATGCTTTCAGTCACGTTGTCCTGAAATGATGATATGAATCATGATTTGATGATTAATGAAGATTTGTTTGGCAGATGCCATCATCATCTCGCCAATTCTGCCCAGCTGGACAGTCAGCTCACTACCCAACAGCTGGCTGGCAGATGCTGGCTCTGGTTACCTTCTGCAGAATATTCTCGGGCTCTGTGTCATATACGCCCACTTCTGAAGCCATCACCAGCACTCGATCTTTGGTGACGTAATAGCGAGAAGGACGCAGACCATTCCTGTTGAAGGGAGAGTCCGAAATGAGGCTGTTAGTTTTCTGCTTTCAGCATCATCTAGTATACGAGTTCAGATTAAGAACCATCCAAAGAGCGAGGCATTTTGTGCTTTAAGACACCTATGTTTCTTTCTGTATCTGACACACTTGTGGAGTAGAAATCCTGAGAACTTTGAAGGGTCACATCTTCAGATTCCACCCCCCTCAGTCATTCAATATTTTCCAGCATGCTGCATCACCTTTTCTTAAGATATGGGTTGTAATAAAAGAAAAGTGAAATTTAAAAAGATAGATTATTGCAGACAGAGCCGTCTTACCACATGGGCCCGATGGGCACTTGCCCGGGGTCCCCACGAGCATAGGGGCTCCACAAGCACAGGGGCCCCAAGAGCATAGGGGCCCCACAAGCACAGGGACCCCACAAGCATAGCACAAGTTCATTATGGAAGCAGGATGTTTAAATATTTAGGTCTTGTTGCAAGCACACTTATATAATGTAACCCTACATCCTGGTGTGGGACTAAATACTAAATATTTAAGATGTATATATTTCCAGGTGAATAATCCTTTCAGCAGAAATGAAACGTGATGTTTTGAGTGGAGCTCAGAAGAGAGCTGCAGAGAAGGAGATAATAGGAAAACTTCCAAAATTAACATCATGACTCAACATGGGTGCAATGACAGCCACTCATACCATTCCTTCAGATATAGCATTCACATCCATTCCATTCACCTGGGCTCTAGGAGACTCAAACCGCAGACCCCATGCATGCGAGGTCGAAGCTCTATCGACTGAGCTATTGAAGACCCCATGTGGCTTCACACACGTGGGGCCTACTGTTAGAGTCTCCTAGAGACTCGAACCGTAGACATTAGATGTCAAACATTCATGTAGGTGATTGGAATATTTATTTCCACGGAAGTGTGGATGTTATCTACATCCATTCCCGCTACCAATCATCCAGTTTCAGCAGACATAACATCATTGCTTGTTGCTGCTGGTGATATTTTACAAGAGGAAATACCCAAATCTGTAACAATAAAAGAGTTCAATCCAAGAAAGAGATCCGGGGCTATGGAACATTAATGATACCAACACAATAGATTACTGTATTCGTAGTGGGCCCTCGTCATGTCAATCATGACAGCAACCTTTCAAACTCATGCAGAGTGTATAAAACAGCTGGAGTAGAGAATATAAAGGCAAGGTATACAGTACATCAAACAATGTGTTCAAACATGAACTGTGGAATGGCTAGTATGTAAAATATGAATGGCTACTCTATTCACCATCCCAAGGTGGCTTGTACTGCTTTGTATGTCCCATATTGTCCAAGAAAGAATCTCTCTTTGCTACATTGGGGTTCAATGACTGGAAGCACAGCAATGTTATTGTAGATCATGACACTGAAGAACATCTAAAGTGCATGACAGCATATTTGATAAGGCATAAAGAAACTGGAAGTGCAGATTCTTTATTACTTGAGCAGCATCGCTCAGAGCAGGAATATTGGCATAAAGTGTTGACGTGTTGTTTCTGTAATTCGCTTTCTTGCCTCTAGAGGTTTGCAATTTCAAGGAGAAAATCTGATCATTGGGTTAGCAAAAAATGGCAACCATTTAGGTATACTAGAGCTGCAGAGTGAATTTGACACATTCTTCCAAGAAAATCACAAAATGTATGGAAATCCTTGAAAAGGGAATCAGTCATTTATCTGCAAATATTTGTGAGGAATTTATTGAATTAATATGACATTCTTTAAGTAAAAGTGTCAAAGTATTATTCAATAATTGTAGATTCCACTCCAGACATCTTGTACACAGATCAATTGACATTTACTGTCCGATACATTGAAGGCTGCGAGTCTGTAGAACATTTCTTTATGTTCATCCCCATCTTTTTTCCATGGAGCAAAGGATATAACAAACACCATCATGGACTTTCTTAATGCAAACAAAATTCCACTATCAAACTGAAATGGTCAGTCATACGATAATGCCTCAAATATGTCTGGACAATGTACTGGATTGCAAGCACAGATTCATCAACTCAATGAGTTTGCCATCTATGTCCCCTGTGCTGGACACAACCTGAATTTGGTGGGAGTAAAAGCAGCAGTGTCAAATCAGTGCAGCAGTGTCTACAGACTGTCAAATTCTTTGACTTTTTTCAGCAACTGTAATAATTTTTTGCTAGTTCTACTCACCACTGGACTGTATTGACATCTTTAGGAAAAGATTTTGTGGGCAAGCATCTGTGACCCACTATGGTCAGCACATTTTGATGCTGTTCATGCTCTGTATGGGGGGGACACTATGGTCAGCACATTTTGATGCTGTTCATGCTCTGTATGGGGGGGACACTATGGTCAGCACATTTTGATGCTGTTCATGCTCTGTATGGGGGGGACACTATGGTCAGCACATTTTGATGCTGTTCATGCTCTGTATGGGGGGGACACTATGGTCAGCACATTTTGATGCTGTTCATGCTCTGTATGGGGGGGACACTATGGTCAGCACATTTTGATGCTGTTCATGCTCTGTATGGGGGGGACACTATGGTCAGCACATTTTGATGCTGTTCATGCTCTGTATGGGGGGGACACTATGGTCAGCACATTTTGATGCTGTTCATGCTCTGTATGGGGGGGACACTATGGTCAGCACATTTTGATGCTGTTCATGCTCTGTATGGGGGGGACACTATGGTCAGCACATTTTGATGCTGTTCATGCTCTGTATGAGGGTTTTGAGAAAATAAAACGTGTACAGTACTTAATTCTCTATCAGCTGACAATGAACAGCAAGTGAATACAAGTTGAGAGGCAGAAGGATTGAGCAACAAAAATGGAAAACCTGGAAATAATCTCTCAAAAATCTTCGGAATGACATGCTAGAAAGAATGAACAAAAACAAGGTCCTACAATCAAAGGATGTGAACATCTTTGTTGCCACAAATCATCTTGAGTCTATGAAAACCTATCTTCAGGAAACTAGCGACAAATTTGGTGAATATGAATTTAAAGGCAGGAGAATGTGTCCAGATGCATATTATAGTGATGGGAAAAAATGGGAACGAAAACTAAGTGTTGTGTCTTGGTAGATATGATGAATCAGCAGAAGAGGTACTGTACCTCTCATTAAATCACAAAAATTCAAGGTGGAAACTTTCCTCCCTATTCTAGACACTAATCTTTGAACTGACACAACATGCAGAGGTTTATTACCAGATTGGAAATCTGTTTCCTGTCTTCAGTGAATTAAAAACCATTGCTTCTGATGCACTAAAGAGAAAGTGTGAACATGTGGCTAATATGTATCACAAAGACATGAATTATTATGACCTTTTATATGAATGTGTGCATCTCTAGCACTACATGGCTCTTTATGAAAATTGCGAGAGAGTCCCTGCACTGTACAGAAAAATAACTTCGGATAATTTGAAATCTGTATTCCCAAATGTTGAAATTGCACTCCGAGTGTTCATGTGTATGATGGTGACCAACTGTACTGGAGAACATTCTTTTTCAAGATTCAAACTTATAAAAAACCTGCCTCAAAGCATAATGGGGCCAACATCGTTTGAACTGGCTTTCACTCATGTGCATGGAAAATGACACCCTGTTAACCATTAACCATTAACCAATAACTAATAAAATAAATTAACCAATAAATGACCATTAACTTCAAGCCAATAATAAAGCAATTCTCTGAAAAAAGTGCTGATAATGCTCGTTATAATGATAAGTTTGAAGTAATTTCATACTGTGCTATCTAATCTGTGTAGCTTACCGAGTATTAGTGATTTTTTAAGCCTTCTGTATTGCTCAAATGTTTATCATGTTGATTAGTTCCTGCTCTACAGCATGTTTTTAATGAACAAATCCATAAGGACCGTGACGAGGGTTCGAACCTACGTTCGAGAGGATCCCAGACGCTGCCTTAATCGACTGAGCTACAACATGGTTATGAGAATTGCAACCGGAAAATCATCCTGATTTACCATCGGTTCCTGCAGTCTCTCCGAGATACAAACCAGGGTTTTACACAATTCCCCCATGCACCCGAGCTATGTCAATAGGCTGTTCTACCTCTTCGCCCTTACTTCATTACACACACAAAACACAATAGTGTGATGCATCAAATGAACAAATCCCACCATTGGTAAATCAGGATGATTTCCCAGTTGCAATTCTTGTAACCATGGTGTAGCTCAGTCGATTAAGGCAGTGTCTGGGATCCTCTCAGATGTAGAGTTTGAACCCTCGTCACGCACCTTGTGGATTTGTTCATTTGATGCATCACGCTATTGTGATTTCTGTGTAATGCTTTTAATGTTTTAACATTAAACATTTCTTCTTGAAGTTCCAATAAAATAAATGTGTTTCAAAATGTCGACCATTTACTTTTTATCCCTGTGAGTGGTTGTTGTAGGAGCCCCAACACACTGGTTTGCCCAAGGCCCATAATGCTGTTAAGACGGCCCTGATTGCAGGCATAAATATTTCAGATACCATTTTATCCATTAATCTTTTTTGTATAGAACCCTTCAGAATTTCAGACATTATGAAAAATTAGTACCAATATACATACTAGCATAACAGATCTGACATTAAATAACAAAATTTAGTACTTTCTAAACAGAAATATGCTAGAAGAAAACAAATATTTTAGATAATTAACAAATGACATTCAAAGCAGCAAATATCGAAGAACCATTTTTCTAAACAAGACCCCTGTTTAATCTAATTATTTTGTTTTACATTTAAATTTTAATCTAATATAATTACTCCAACCCATCCTCCTAAAATGATAGCACTTATAGCAACTACAGTATTTAGTAGAAAGTACAAAACTGGACTGTTGCAGCCAACACTTCACGTTTTGTACCAGAATATTTTTTAGAAGGCACGAAAAAAATAAATAAAAACCCAATCTTAAACATTCCTTGGCCTAGTACAGCACATATATGTAGTGTATTATATTAGGCTTGATATAGCATATATTAAACCTAGGATTGCTTGGACAGGTTAGGTTTGGTTCTTGGGTTAAATTGACAATTTTTTGGAATGCCACTTGGACACTAATTAATATAAAATATGAACGTTTTGGGTTCCAACAGTCCATTTTTTGTGCACTTAACTAAATAGTTGCTTCAAGTACAGTACTATTATTTGAGAAGGATGGCCTGAATTACAGTAATCTAAATGATGTTCAGATACTATTATTAATTTATAACAATAATAAAAATTTAATGTTGACTGAACAGGATCTTGCCAGAATAATGGCTGGGAAAAAAAAAATTGCAGACCGTTTAACCAAAAATCACATTTTTATTAGCGTATAAATTTATTTGTGCACGATTTTTACAATACATGGGAATATTACTTCAAGGTAATTTCTATTTGTTTTGTGTACATCATATACTTTACATAAAATGATCTATGCAGACATTCATATAAATGGTGATGAATTACACAGTAGCTCTTCTGTCTTCCTAGAGATTATCCAATGAAAATAGGTTACTACCCCTTCTACCAATATCAAAACTAAGATGAAATTACTAGTATGTGATCAAAATCCACAGTCTACATGGTTTCGTGTTTTTCATGTGTCCAAACTAAATCCGGAAATTTGATACTTCCATAAAAAGTTATATTTTAAGTCAAGGTAAAGTACAAGAAAATATTGATACCATATGATAGGACTGAACCCACAATCCTGAACTTCTGAGGTGCACACACTACTAACCAGACTATTGTTACAAGTATCTCAACCTGCAGGATGAGGGTTCAATCCCACAATAAGGCTTTAATATTCTCTTAGATGTTTCACATTCTTGTGATATCAGTGTCCCAGCTAAACTATTAATGTTAGCTTAATTGCCAAGACTTGTTAAGACTTAACCCTTACACAGTATTAACCTCTGATGCCTCGACTTACTTCGGAACTCTTCATCTTTAAGGGAGTGGCCACATGTAATAGATTTGCCCAGTGGTGCCTCACTGGGGGTCAATACTTGGACCTCTCCTCTAATATGTTAATGATCTTCAAGAGGGTTAAGACCCATTCTTCTCAATGTTTGCTGCTGATGAAAAATCTATGAAGATTAATTTAGAAGAAAATAGCAAGAAACTACAATCTCAAGATAACCTCAATGTAACGGTTGATTCCCTCCTTTCCCGCCCCCCCTTTTGCCCATTTGTCAAGGGTTGACCTGAGAGTCGTCTTGCTTGCTTTGTCCTCTCGGTGCCTATGCTTCCCCACTCCATTCCCTCTCCATCCACCTCTCAATTCCCTTTATTCCCCTCTCACTGGTTCCTCCCACATACCAGGCGAGTCAAATGTCCCTACCTTTGATCTTGGAGGAGACAGGTTTGAACATAATTTATCAGTTTCTGTAAACATTGCTCGGACGTGCCCCAGGCTCGGGTGGTCCACTACAGAGGCACCTTGTCCTCTTCAAATAGCTGGAAAGAGCCGACTCAATCTTCGAGAATTTCATGTACCTTCAGGCAGATCATGGAAGGTGATTGGCGGTAGATAAGTGCCAAGTCCTTATTGACCCTGGAGAGCCAGACCTCAGGTGATTGGCGGTAGATAAGTGCCAAGTCCTTATTGACCCTGGAGAGCCAGACCTCAGGACTAGTTTTAAATGGTTGGCTGTAGTCAAAAACACTCACTAAATACACTCACTAGAAATCCCATCCATTGTATACAAGAGCACCTCCCATGCCCTTGCGCCACCTATAGCTCTGCTGTTCAACAAATCCCTCGAGTGTCATACCTTCCCTGATATCCTTAAAAAAGCAAGAGTAATGCCAGTTCATAAAGGAGGTAATCCGGCAGACATAAACAATTATAGACCAATATTAAACCTACCCATACTATCAAAAATATTTGAAAAAATTATCTACAAACAGCTCTACTCCTATCTCGTAAAATTCGACATTCTTAGCCCCTGTCAGTTTGGCTTCCGCTCCCAAAAGAGTACCAACGATGCCATTATTAGTCTCCTTGATATAATTTACTCAGCCCTTGACAATAATGAGTTTCTGATTGGACTCTTCATTGACCTGAGAAAGGCCTTTGATACTGTTAATCACAATTACCTCTTGCGTAAACTCCATCATTATGGAATCCGAGGCCATGCACTGGACTATATCCAATCCTATCTTAATGATAGACACCAATGTGTAGTCATCAATAATATAACCTCTCCCACTCTACCAATAACCGTTGGAGTGCCACAGGGCAGCATCTTGGGACCTCTCCTATTTCTTACACATATTAGGCAGATCATTGATGTATATAACATTCTGAAACCTATTTTGTTTTGCAGGCTCGCATGCCAGCAAACATTGTCGCTTGGACCATCGACTTGCTTTGGCATCACCAGCTTCTTATTGTTGTCTAATTTTGTTATAAAATTATACTTTTTCAGAGTAAAAATTTTTTTTTCATGTTCTACATTCTACACTAATATAGTGAGTAAATACAGTATATCATATTTCTTCATTACTTACGTAATGCTAGGAAGCTTTGGGTAGCTTTGAGTAAATTTGTGTAGCTATGGGATCCGGTCGGCCGAGCGGACAGCACACTGGACTTGTGATCCTGTGGTCCTGGGTTCGATCCCAGGCGCCGGCGAGAAACAATGGGCAGAGTTTCTTTCACCCTATGCCCCTGTTACCTAGCAGTAAAATAGGTACCTGGGTGTTAGTCAGCTGTCACGGGATGCTTCCTGGGGGTGGAGGCCTGGTCGAGGACCGGGCCGCGGGGACACTAAAAAAAAGCCCCAAAATCATCTCAAGATAACCTCAAGATGGGTAATTAGACGGACCCCTACAAGGAGTACCCACCAGTGCCCAGGATACTCTCCCTCCCCTACCCCAAATCCCACCTCTCTTCCCCTCTCCTCACATCCCCTATCTTCTCCCATCTTTCCTCCCCCTTCCTCCCTCTCTGCTTATCTTCCATATTTTCCCCTTCTCCCTACCCCCATCTCCCTATCCTCCCCTGAAACAGGAAACCATTTTCCATATACAGTATAGATGGGGTAACTGGCTGCACCCAGGACTCTTACCCTTTCCCCCCCCCCCCATCTCCCCCCGAATTCCTCATCCCCTCGTCCCCCTTCTGCCTTCCCCCCTCCTCCGCATTTCCCACTCCTCTCGGAAAATGTATTTTTATGAACCCCCTTTAGTCTCCCCCCCTCATCATCCCCACTACCTCCCTTCCCCCACTGCTTTCTCTGTCTCACCCCCCCCCCCCATTTTCTCAAAATTTATTATTAAGAAACAATGAAACGACTGTGTGGGTCTCGGAAAATACATTATGATCACTCAAGACTCAAGGGGAAATCAAACCAAACATTTCACACAGCTCCATGAAAATCACATGAGGATCTCTATAACTGCTAATGTTTCCTGAAGCATTTAATCGAGGCCTACCCCAACTAGCCTATGTCTGTCCCATACCCCCACACCATTTTCCTTGCAAAGTTAGCCAATTCTAGTCCCAAGCATTTGGCCTCCAACTTTAGACACAGACATTCTCTTACAGTATAGATTCTAATATTTGTTTAAAACATTTGATCTAATATGAAGCTTTGAAGAGGCTCCAATGTTTTAAATATTGAAATGATCTGAGTAGAACTAAAAAACTGAATAAAGGAACTAGGTTAAGCAATTAGGACACTGTTTTAAGACTGAAGAGCAGTTATCAACCACATCTAACAACTTTATCATTTATTCTCTTGGCAACAATGCCATATGCCACTAATTGCAAACAATAACATTAATGTGTTTTGCATAGATCATTTTGTACATTTATTTGCCATTGTTGCTAAGATAGTAATGTATATTTAGTGGTCCTGATATTAATTGGGGTTGCAAAACAATCTAAAACATACAAACTATATGGGAATACTGTACTTATAATTTAGATTCTATCTGCATACATACACTGCTTAATAATATCCTGTATCACGTACAGTACCACACATCTTGCGTCGACCAGCTAATTACTGCATCGAAATGTATATTTCACACAGCTTCACTACCCATGCATGTCAGCTAATGGGGTAGAGGCAGAGGAGCTATCCAAAAAAGGTCATTAGCAGTAACACACACCTGTCAAGAATAGCTCCAATGTAGCGGCCATCGGTGAATGTCATCAACGCAGGTCCATCCCAAGGCTCCATTGCACAAGCAGCCCAACGATAAAAGTCCCGTTTTTCTGGGTTCATCAATTTATCATTCTGCCATGCTTCTGGGACCATGGTCATGATTGCCTGAAAAAATTATGAAGAGCATATACAAGGCATAGTGCAACACATGTATAGTTATTATATTGTTTTATACGTGCACTACTGAAAACTCTTGTTCTTTCTGCTATTTGACATTACTCCAAAACAAAATACTGTATTTAGGCAAATGTTCAATATTTGTGCAGTTTAAACTACCTCTTCACTAACAAAATTACTTTACAATCAATGTAGCTCTTGTCTCACACTGAAACAAAATATTGTATTGCTTGCAATACAATATTTTGGATATTGTATTTTTGGATATATCAGGCTCAGGATGCAAAATCAGAAGGGAAAGTATCTTGTGGATTTAGAGGCAACAACAGCCCAAAGGTTGGATGTACCCTGGCTATTCACAAAATATTAAAATATTCAAATAGTTAATTAAAGTTTAAAAAATTAATAATTTAAAATAAAAATATACAAATAAATAATAAAACCATCCAAAAATTAATAAAAATACATATCCTGGGATTAATACCAGGTCATGTCTCTTTAGGCAAAGGTTCGAGGGTAATGTACAGTAGCACCCTTGATTACTTAGGCCCGATATACAATGCAAATAAATCACATATTAATGTAGTCCAAGTAATGTAATTTGGCTTGACCCAATAGAATGATGCAATAAGTCACATGGTCAGTTGGGCTTAGTACAAATGGGTCTGGCCAGTAGGTGGGTGGGTGGGTGGTTGTGAGGACAGCCTTCCCCTTGGTTAGTAGGAGCTACAAGAGCCCAGCAGGTTTCCTGTCCCCCAACAGTAGTATACCAGTACAGTATGTGCACACACACGATGCGCACGCATACATAATCACTTGGGTAATTACATAACTGGAGAATTGGCAGGTATGAAAAAGGGAAAGATCGACCCTTGAGGATCACTCTAAATGGAGCTAAACAGATGGAAGAAGCACTCAGGAATGTTAGGAAATTACAAAGTGATGAGGAGGGGAAATTATGGTCATTAAGGCAAAATCCTTCAAAGGAAGACAGAGAAGCTGAAACTGAACTTTCCTGAAGCAAAAAGTCTGAATGAGAGCAGGAACAAAGATGAAATCAATTCTTTTTTTTCTACAAGGCAAAAGGAGAAGGGCAAGCCTGTGAAGTGGTACAAAAAGGCAAACCAACAAAAATCACTAGAAAAAGAGAAATCAAGAACATTGGGAGAGGGAATAAGTTCCCAAAAATTTTATACTGTATACGGTACTGTACTAACATTGATGGAGCGAGCTAAAAAATACAGGAGGTAAATGATGTACTGTAATACAGCTAAAGACACCAAACATTGTTGCATTAACAGAGACGAAACTCGAAGATTATATTTTTGATGAGATAGTATTCCCAACGAGCTACTCAATTTAGAGACAGGACAAAAATTTGGAAAGATAATTACCTAAGTGTAATTACAGGACAAGAGCTATGCTCATGGTGTTCCGTCTACCCAGCACTATCATAACGCTTTGAAATTACTGTACTCACAATTTTGGCCTCCATCACCTTCTCACCTAACTTGTTCCAACTGTCTACCACACTGTGAAAGTGTGCTTTCCTATATTTCTTCGGCAGCTTTGTTTAGTTAATTTAAATCCATGACCTTTTGTTCTCGAAGTTCCGGGTCTCAAGAATTCTTCCTTATCAATTTTATAGATTCCTGTTACTATTTTGTACGTAGTTATATCCTCTCTTTTTCTTCCATCTTCTATTTTTGGCATATTTAATGCCTTTAACCTCTCCTCGTAGCTCTTCTTCAGTTCTGGGAGCCGTTTAGTTGCATGTCTTTGCACCTTTCCCAATTTGTTGATGCGCTTCTTAAGATGTGGGCACCATACAACTGCTGCATATTCCAGTTTTGGTCTAACAAAAGTTGTGAACAATTTCTTTGTTATTTTGCCGTCCATGTACAGTATGTATTTAAAAGCAAGTCTGATGTTTGAAAGTGTAGCATACCCGCCAAATACACGACAAAACTAAGACATTGCTACAACGTTCGAACAAATTTTAACACCTAACAATTGTAACAATCAATATATCAAGTTGTAACAATGTTCTAATACTGTGTCATAAAAAATTTATAACAAAATGTAACATCTTTATTACAAGTTGTAACAAGGGACTCATAGGGACCGTTACATTATGTGTTTGCAGAGTAGGCACCTCGCACGATGTTCTTCATGTGGTCCTCGGGTGATAGTTTTCCCACTTAGAACCACCCTTAGATCTCTTACTTTTATAGAACACAATAAAGTAGCTGTCACGACTGCAAGAAAAATGACAGGTTGGATAACAAGGACCTTCCAAACAAGGGATGCCATACAAATTATAGTACTTTTCAAGACACTAGTGTTCGCTAGAATGGAATATTTTTGCACACTAACAGCCCCATTCAGAGTCAGATAAATTGCTGACCTTGAGAGCATGTCAAGATCCTTTACTGGGTTCAGGCCCAAATCTGAACATGGAGAATGCATCACATGAAACCAGTAGGCATGACAGGATGTGCAAAATACCATGTTTAAAAAACAGAGGTGCAATAGGTACACTGAAGGAGAGAACTCAACATCAATGGCCAAAAACTTTTTCAACACTTTCCCACTACACATAAGGAGAATAACTGGCCGACTTCTCTATGTTCAAGAGAAAACTCGGCAAACAACCTCCAAGGAATACCTATCAACCAAGCTGTGGTTACACACAGAAATCACAATAGTGTGATGCATCAAATGAACAAATCCACAAGGGCTGTGACGAGGGTTTGGACCTACATCAGAGAGCATCCCAGATGCTACCTTAATCGACTGAGCTACGACAGCCATTCTTTTCCATGTCGTAGCTCAGTCGATTAAGGCAGCATCTGGGATGCTTATGGACATAGGTTCGAACCCTCGTCACGGCCCTTGTGGATTTGTTCATTTGATGCATCACGCTATTGTGATTTCTGTGTGTAATGAAGTAAGGGTGAAGAGGTAGAACAGCCTATTGACAGAGCTCGACTGCATGGGGGAATTGTGTAAAATCCTGGTTTGTGTCTTGGAGAGGCTGCAGGATCCACCTAAGTTCAGTAGAACTTCTGGTTGCAATTCTTTTCCCATGTTGTAGCTCAGTCAATTAAGGCAGCGTCTGGGATGCTCTCGGACATAGGTTCGAACCCTTGTCACAGCCCTTGTGGATTTGTTCAAACTGATTCATACATCAAGCTGCGGGCAGCTGTGTCCAACAGCCTGGTTAACCAGACGAGCAACCGGGAGGCCTGGTCTGAGACCGGGACGTAGGGCCATTGATCCTCAGGAGCTACACAAGGTACAGGGGCCACAAAATTTTTATAGGAAAGATATGGTTGAGTAAATTGCATTTATCTGGACCTAAAAATGTGGGGAATTTATTATGTGGGGGCTTTTGACAAAGCCCCACAAGCAGTTGTTCCAGAAAACTGGAACAGTGACAGAGGCTTCTGACATGGATGAAAATTTTCACACAAACAAATGAGGGTGGTAATCAGATCCAATATATCAGACTAGAGAAATGATATTAGTGGAGCTGCAGAAGGTTCAGTTTTAGTACCAGTAATTTCATTGTCTATATAAATGATGCCTAGCTACTAGGGGAAGATAAACTTAGATAACTGTCATGCCCTTGAAAAAGACTAAGACAAAATAAGTGTATGGAGCCCCCACTTGGTAAAATAATTTTAATGTGAATAAATGCCATGTTATGGAATGTGGATTAGGAAAAAATAGACCAAATACAACCTACAAATTACGTGAAAAAGTTTTAACAAATTCTGATAAAAAAAAGATCTAGGGGTGGGTCTAGATAGAAACTCGCCCGAGCACGCCAATAGTTATTTATTTATTTATTTATTTATTTATTTATTTATACACGAGTTCCTACATTCACGTACAGCTACTAGCACACACAGCATTTTGGGCAAGTCTTTAATCCTAATGTATGTTCCCCAGAATACGACCCGCCAAATCATTTAACAATCAGGTACCCATTTTACCGTTAGGTAAACAGAGGCTACAGTTAAGGATTGACGCCCAGTAAATCCTCCCCGGCCAGGATACAAACCCAGGATAAAGCCCTCACAAAATGCCAGGCAAGTGTCTTACCACTACCCCATGGGGACAGCTGGACAGCATATTATGCTATGCTTTTCAATTTTAGAATTTCTTTTAAATAAATGGGTGGCGAAATACTAGAGAAATTGTTCACGACCTCTGTGAGACCCAAGTTGAAATATGCAGCAGTTGTATGGTGCCCATATCTTAAGAAGAATATCAACAAACTGGAAAAGTTGCAAAGATATGCAACTAAATGGATCCCAGAACTGAAGCACATGAGCTATGAGGAGAGGTTAGAAAAATAAAATAAACCAAAACTATTAGATAAAAGAAAGAGGCATGGTATGATCACTACTGTACATACAAAACAGTAATGGTAATTGACAAAATTTACACGAATTCTTGAGACCTGGAACTTCAAGAACAAGAGGGTCTAAATTTAAGCTAACTAAACAAAGCTGCCAAAGAAATAAGAAAATTCACTTTTGCAAACAAGAGTGGTAGACGGTTGGAACAAGTTTAGTGAAAATGTGGTGGAGGTGAAACCGTAGTTTCAAAGCATTATTTGACAAAGAGTACTGGGATGACGGGACACCACGAGTGTAGCTCTCATCCTGTAACTGCACTTGGATAATTACACATTATCTCCCAAATCCAATGGAAAAAATAAAATTCAAGTGGTATGTAAACTTACAGTATTAAACTTTTGAATTTGATATGCTGCATATAAAAAAAGTGACCACTTTACAATTCATATATAAAGCTCCTTATACAAAATCTTTCAATAGTTGTTTGCTCAAATTCCTCCACAGAGTATGTTATGAATGCCAGACTGTACCACAAACATACTACAGTATACTTAATGTCCGTATGTAGCATTTCTATGTAGGGTTATAAACCCATGGGCGATATGAATAAATGGAACAACCTACCCTCCGGAGCCGTAAATGCCAAAACTATTAAATATTACAAACCAATTGGAAAAGATCATTGGGGCAAATGGGGAAGATCATTGACAAGCTGCCAGCTTCCTGGCCTCAGATGCCACTAGTGTTAGTGGCCCTCGGGCAAGTTCAAGTAAAGGAGGACTGACAAACTGTGTGGCATATTTTATTTGATACACAAGAAGCCAATGCATGATGCCAATATGCTTTATGGTGAACCACAGGGAAATTTTGTTATGAAGGCAATAAAGGTGGCCAGCTGTGTAGCACCAACCTCCAAGATTCAGCAAAAATGTGCATTCTTAAACACGTGCAGTGGACAATACAATGCTTAAAAATACATGATAATCAATGAGAGAAGGGGGCCTGTACTTCCTGTCAAGCCTGGCCTCAGGCCGGGCTCGGGGAGTAGAAGAACTCCTGAGACCCTTTCCAGGTATGCTCCTCTTCAGGTAAGGGAAGAATCGAGCAACACAATGGAGTGGCTCTCTGGTGACATGGATATTTCCATTTGTAAGGTTAGGACAAAACTCACTCATGAAGAGGTATTTTCTGGTAGAAGTATAGGACTGCAAATCAGCATATACTATTCATACACCCCCACAGAGCAGTTTGATTGCAGCAGATCCCTTCAAGAGAAGTAATCCCTTGGGAAAGTAGAGGCCTATTTGTGACCGTGTGGTGCTTTCTACTCAATAAATCAAAATTTGGTAGTACTGTCCTAAATACCGAATGAACATATTTTTCTCCAGATCTAAATATTGTACTGTACCGTACTCACCTCTGGCAAAGAGCGACCTCCTGCCATGACCAGGAACTCCAAGCAGCAGTCCACAGCACCCGAGTCTGACAAGTTTGGCTCTACCACGGGGTACAGTGTGGACAGCTCACTGCCAAACTCGGCACTCTTCATTACACCCTCTCGTGCCTTCATGAAATTCACATTTCCTCGTAGGGTATTAATCTCACCATTGTGTGCCATTAATCTGGAAGTAGAATTGTGTAAGACATTGAATTCCAAATTATATATAGGTGACTTACATTTCTCAAACACTATAGTTTCTCTATTTAAACAATCTGGTATATAACCTATCCATATACATCAAGTGTATACTTTATCCAAAGTTAAATTTGCTCATATTACAAAATCTACAAGTAACAGCAAAATTTCTAAATTATGTAGGTTTAAGTGCAAACCTTGTTTATACAATACAGTACTGTATTTGCATTAAGCTTTACAAACTACAGTATTCATCAGTACAGTATTGTATGTCAACTTTAGCTCAGTACAATAGCAGATTGTTAGATAACAGTCAATGGGTAGGTAATAGATGGTTAGATTTAATTGCCAAATAGTGTTTGTTGAAATTTTATAATACAAATATATTTTACGATTTGCAACAAATAACTTATTACTCCCAATGCACTTATGTCTTTAAGGCATAAGTGCACACACACACTGTATTGGTTATTTAACCGATTCATTAAAGCGTTAGATTTTGCATGAACACAAATGTAGCATAAATTACAGTTATGCCAAATTTAGCATTTGGGTTAGGTTTTGTATATAGTTTTGCTCAACTTATGCAACTTATTCAAGTTATGCAAGAATATCAGACCAATTTTAGGGTGCCTACAAAATTGGATGCTTGTTGAAACTTGGCAGGAAACGGGGACAAGATTTATCAAGGACTTGCATGTCCACTTATGAAACCTACTACTCTTTCTTCAATCATAACGGCTTAGTCCATTTACTAAATACAGCAGTTTACAAAATCTTCCATAACAATGCAGTAATAACTTTGGGTTGAGAATGATCTCTTACTGCTTTGGGGTTTTGTAAAAAACTGTTCTGTAAACACCTAAGGCAACTATGATCAAGGCAAGAACAAAGCTCGCAAGAAGACAAGTATTTAATGTAGCCTAACATAGTACACAGACAATAACTTGCAACTCAATGTAATACATTAAATAAAAGGCCAAATACACTTTCATTCTAGGCAAGATATTCATATAAAGAAATAATTAAAATGTTACATTTTAATGATGATTAACCCTCTAACTGCTGCAGTCACCCTCAAGTGATTTACACGTTGCCTGTGCAAGACTTTGTGCCCCTGTAATACATTCAAGTTCTAAAGATTCTATGTGGATGTCATTCAACACTAAAAACCTCTACCAATCCTTTGCCATATTTAAAAAAAATCCTGTAAGATTTTGCTTCTTTTTCTGGAAATTAGTACTGTATAAAACAAAAACTGGCACCATGTCTAGTGCATCACCTCCCATTTATTGATGCCCATTCTAGGAATCATTGATGTAGTGCAAAATTTCAAGGACTTTTATGGACCTGGAAGACTTTGAGAAATCTATTACAGTTAATAAAATTAATTCCGAGAATTATATTTTTTTCAACATTTCACCTCACTGCGGGCAAAATATAATTACAGTACAGTACTGTATTTGAAACCTTTCCCCATTATAAATAAATGTTTTACAATATAAAATATTTTTTTTTTAATATTATGAGTACCAGGAAATTGATATAATTTAGGATGTGCAGGTAGGTGGTTAAGGTACACAGATGAACAGATCAATGAAGAGGCAGCCAGATATACCTGAGAGGGTGAGCTCGCTCCCAGGAAGGGAACGTGTTGGTTGAGAACCTTGTGTGCACCAAGGCCAGGTAAGATGAGAAATCAGGATTCTGAAATATATACCCAATAAGTGTATAAAACTCAAATAAATAAACCCAAAGTTTTATATAAAACACGTGTATTAAAATATAAACTAAATGCCAAAGAATTGAGTTGTTCAATAACAATAACCCACAAATAAGCATTTTCAGCTGGAAATCACCTTCTTTGTTAGGTTCCATTAACACCTTGATGCAATTTAACATTTAAAATCAAAACTATGAATACTCACTCTTAAATCATCAAAGTAAGTCCAGAGCTGATCAGATGTGAGCTGACCCTTGTAGACAATAGTGGTGGTGGAGAGGGAACAAATGTAGAACCTACAGCCAGGTCTGGCAAGGTTATGGGTTGCTTGCTTCCTGGTCACCCACACCTGCAATTTAATGATCTTAGTTATTACGCAGGCAGTAAAGAACATAGTGGGAGGAGAGAAGTGGCTAGCATTAAGGGTGATTAGACAGTGGGGCAATAGTTAGTACCATTTGTCAACGTAACTCCATGAGCACTCCTCACTAGTACATGTCTTAAAAAGGCATGAGAGACATCATAAAAGGTATCCACAATTTAACATCACTTGAGGGTGACAAAGGTATCCACATAAAGAAAGAAAGATTAAGAAAGAAAGAAAGAGAAAGAAAGAAAGAAAGAGAAAGAAAGAGAAAGACAGAGAGAAAGAAAGAGAAAGACAGAGAGAAAGAAAGAGAAAGACAGAGAAAGACGGAGAAAGAAAGAGAAGGGGGTGAGGGGGGGAGATATACTGAAAATCGTGTAGTTAGCTAGCTTCAACCACTTCTTCGTCTAACCATTCCATTTATTGCGAACACACAACACTTAAATAGTTGAAACATCTGCGATGCCTCTGTATAGTTTGTCTAATTTCCATTATTGCCACTCACTCTCCTCTTCCAGACTTCGAGCAATGCTTCTTGGTACAGTTTGTCCGTTCTCCTTGGAACTGTTTATGTAGTCATGTCCTCCACTATTACTTTTTTTTTAGTGCTTTTAAAGTCCAGTGCCTTCAGATGCCAGGACTCGTGATGCATTTACATGTCCACTTACGAAGCCTGTACATCTTTCCTCAGTCATAGCAGTTTAGTTTGCATTTCTTAAACAATTTGTGCTTCAAGGCATTACGCGATTATCTAACAATAACGAACTTGGGTTGTATAGTTCTGAAGCTCGTAAATGCTTGACCAATCATGGCCGGTCTCAAAACTCGGGTCTCTGCAGCTACACTTGTTCCTCCTCCATTTACATATCATCATCTTGTTTTAGATTCAGCTACTGGGAAGAAAAGTTCCAATTGGCACGGGCTATGGTGTGCCCGTAGTGGATTTACCTGGCACAGGAGCGGGGCTGTAATGTAGCTCATGACATTATCCTCGTCTAGAATTCTCTCTGACTAAAGGGACTCCTGGGTAAAATACCCCCCCCCCCCTAACCGACTAAAAGTTGAAATTGTAAACAAATGGCGACCACTGTGTTGCCGTTTTTCAGATTTTTTTCAATCAAGACTTCATTAGGGCTGTCGATCGACAGCCGTGAAATAGTTACCAGTCGACAGTTACCAGTTTGTGACAGTTACCAAATGAAACTGCAAGCAAGACCTTATACTACCTCAGCTCATCTGCAGCAGCACTTCTTGAACTTATTATGCTATACAAACCTGGTGATGTATACATTAAACTGTGTAACTAGCTTATTAATCGTCAAACTGACTGACTTAGCGGTACAGTTCCCGAGCCCATTGTGTGCCCCTGTAACCCTTTCTCTTACCACCCACAGGATGGGTATGGGGATACCCTTCCTAATCTAATGTTTCTAACAAACGTCACCTAACGTAATATTACCCTTCCATTTATCTTTCCTTCTCTTTCTTCTCTCTTTTTTCTGTTCATTGTTTTATCTTACGTTCCTTTGCTATCCTCTTCTTATTCCTATTACTATCTCCTCCTCATTCGGGGGTTATAATAGGAGTTACGGGCTCACCATAGCCCGTGCTACATGGACACTTCGTTCTGAGTAGCTAAATCTAAAACAACAAAACTAATAGGAGCTGCCTCGTATGGGCCAATAGGTTATCTGCAGTATTATTATTATGAGACCTTACCTTGCTCCTCACCCCTCTCTTGCCTATTTATTGCCTGCATCAACTTCCTCATAATACGGGTTATTCATGCCCGTGCCACCTCTTGGGTGGCTTAATCTTCATCAATCAATCTTCCTCATAAGGAGCAGGGGCACCGCTCCAGTGCCAGTAAGTCCGCTACGAGCTCACCATAGCCCGTGCTACTTGCCCCGCTCCTTGTTTAGCTCCTTGTTTAGATGATGTTTAACAGTGATAAATTCCAGGTACTCAGGTACGGTAAAAATGAGGACCTTAAACATAATACAGAGTACAAAACACAATCAAATGTACCCATAGTAGGAAAACAGCATGTAAAGGATTTGGGAATAATAATGTCTGTCGACCTAACGTTTAAGGAGCATAACCAAGCAAATATTGCGACAGCCAGAAAAATGATAGGATGGATTACGAGAACTTTCAAATCCAGGGATCCCATCACAATGGTTGTACTCTTCAAGTCACTTGTGTTGTCCCGTCTTGAGTACTGCTCAGTACTCACTTCCCCCTTCAGAGCAGGAGAGATTGCTGAAATAGAGGGAATACAGAGAACATATACGGCACGCATAGATGCAATAAAGCACCTAAATTATTGGGATCGTCTCAAAGCCCTCCAAATGTACTCACTAGAAAGAAGACGAGAGAGATATCAAATAATATACACCTGGAAGATACTGGAGGGCCAAGTACCAAATCTACACAGTAAAATAACGTACTGGAGTGAACGACATGGAAGAAAATGTAGAATAGAACCAATGAAGAGCAGAGGTGCCATAGGCACAATCAGAGAACACTGTATAAACATCAGAGGTCCGCGGTTGTTCAACGTCCTCCCAGCAAGCATAAGAAATATTGCCGGAACAACCGTGGACATTTTCAAGAGGAAACTAGATTTATTCCTCCAAGGAGTGCCGGACCAACCGGGCTGTGGTGGGTATGTGGGCCTGCGGGCCGCTCCAAGCAACAGCCTGGTGGACCAAACTCTCACAAGTCGAGCCTGGCCTCGGGCCGGGCTTGGGGAGTAGAAGAACTCCCAGAACCCCATCAACCAGGTATCAACCAGGTATCAACCAGCTACTCGGAACAACAACATTCCTCATAACCTGGTCTTCTTAAACTAGCGGAAAGGCTTGCAGGACCAGACAACCAGCGCTTTGTCAGTGAACTAAACGCATTATACATAGACAATGGCCTGGCCCCCACTAGCGTAAATCTCACTGCCTCCTCTACCACTCCGGAGACTACCACCAGGACGACCAAGTGGTCAACTTCAACACCGACTCCAGAACCACCCATGACCCGGGCGACACAAACAGAGGTAATTCCTTCTCCAGCTCCCAACACTCCTACCATCACTATCTCAGCAGCCACGCTAGCAGACGTGCTGTCTACAAACGATAACAGCACCACCAGCGCTCCTGAAATAGCTACAACCACCAATCAACGACACCTAAACCTACCTAAGGCTGCGAGGCGAAAGACAAAAACGCCCACTACGGAGGTTACGGACTCCTCAGACGAGGAGATCATAGTAGGAGCTCCACCGCCGCATCACAAATATGACACCTACACGGTTCAAGACTTCCTCATGGAGGCCACGTCACCAAACTCTAATGACAGCACTGCTCAGCCAAAGTCGCAGGCAAAGAAAAAACGGAAAAACTAGGTCTACACTAACCCCACCAGCTCCATAGCTGGTATAGCCAGCCCTCCAGGCTGAAAACCATCATGAATACCCCCATCTATCGCCAGATCTCTAGTATCAGCCACTGATACAGATAATGGCTCTAAAGAGCCTCCACTTACGGGCTCACCATAGCCCGTGCTACTGGAACTTATCGTTCTGAGTAACGAATCTTAAACAACAACAACATTCCTCATAACCCACGGGGGAGACATCTCCCGTCACGCAGGGTGCAGCCGCACCTCCACAGATCTCCAGTATCATCTATTGATACTGGTAATGGCTCAAAAGGGCCACCACTCACGGGCTATTCATGCCCGTGCCACCTTTTGGGTGGCTTAATCTTTATCAATCAATCAATTACTCATAACAATCGACTTGAGAATGGTCCAGGACGGACCGAAACGTCGTCGTCCTTTCACCTTCTAGTGTGTGGTCTGGTCAACATACTTTAGCCACGTTATTGTGACTCATCGCCTGCACACCCTACCTACTACCCACAGGATGGGTATGGGGGTCCACTACCACCCACAGGATGGGTATGGGGGTCCACTACCGCCCACAGGGTGGGTATTGGGGTCCACTACCACCCACAGGGTGGGTATGGGGATAACCTACCACCCACAGGATGGTTACATGCTTGATGGGGGTTCTGGAAGTTGTCCTACTCCCCAAACCACCCCTGGGGCTAGACTCGACATGTGAGAGCTTGGTCCAACAGGCTGTTGCTGTTAGCGGCCCACAGGCCCACATAAGTACCACAGCCTGGTTGGTCCGACACTTCTTGAAGAAAACTATCTAGTTTTCTCTTTACGATGTCCACGGTTGTTCCGGCAATGTTTCTTATAGTCGCTGGGAGGACGTTGAACAACCGCGGACCTCTGATGTTTATACAGTGTTCTCTGATTGTGCCTATGGCACCCCTGCTCTTCACTGGTTCTATTCTGCATTTTCTTCCATATCGTTCACTCCAGTACGTTATCATCTTACTGTGCAGATTTGGGACCTGGCCCTCCAGTATCTTCCACGTGTATATTATTTGGTATCTCTCTCGTCTCCTTTCTAGTGAGTACATTTGGAGAGCTTTGAGATGATCCCAATAATTTAGGTGCTTTATCTCGTCTATGTGTGCCGTATATGTTCTCTGTATTCCCTCTATTCTCACTCTTGGCGTGCAACGAGTTTTCTAAGGTCTAACTACCGACCTTGGGGGGGGGGGGGGAGATGCAACTGTACAACAGTTGCCAAACTCTGAAATCAAATTTTACTCCTAGGTGAAAAGAGGCACTTTGTTCAAGGAAACGTGCCCAGCCATTTCTGCTCCATTGGGGAAACCGAACCCGGGATCCCGATTGTGAGTCGAGAAAGAAACCACACCACCACCTTGGTGATGTGGTTTCATCCCTTGACCTTGACCATACGCCACTAATCTTCCCACCTCTGGCTACTGTGGTCGTAAGTCGCCCCAAGACAAGCCAAGTATAAAAATAGACACAAGGAAGCGTCCTTTCGCAGCCAAGTCAACTTTGTGTCATATTTCCAGTGCCAAGCGATGTACAGTCATCTGATGTCCTCTCTGCCCACGAAGTCTCTCTTGGTTAATTATGGACATCGTGTACACATTATATTTCGTATTCATAATAAGCGCTATGTAAAAGGGTTTAATATTACATGGCAAGATGTGCAGAGTATTGATGTTGGCACGGTCAGGCCCGCCGCCTCCGCCTCCACGTTCATGTCGCCACCCTGGCTTCCCATTGGCTGCCAGACTATGACGTCAAGGGGGGTAAGGCACGTGAGGGCGCTATTGATTGGCTGAAGCCCGCGTGACGTAAATGGGAGGAACACGCCACCCAGTCTTCCGATTGGACGACCGAGCTGTCATTCCTACAATATACTGTTGTAGGCAAGAGAACTGATATTAAACCCACAGCGCCATAATGTCACGCTCTTCTCATTTTATATGGTACCATAAATAGGACTAGATAGTACTATAATTGACATCAGGGCTATAAAATAGAAATGCTTGCTCGAAGTAAATTTGATTTTTTTAAATTTGAAAGCTTAGGAGGCATTACATTTTGTTGGTCCATCCTCAAGTTCAGCCGAATGTATGTTGCTGTATTCTACACCTCACCACCTACATGCAGGTCTACCAAACCTATGATGATGCCCTATTATCTTACCAAGCGTACCTACGATAGGTATAACGCACTAAAATGACCTTTAGGCTCGGTAAAGCATGACTTGTCCCCCTGAATACGGCAGTCATGGGTCAACATTAGCGGTAGTTCTTGCCTATCAGTGACTACGAGGGCGCGTGCTCTAGCTCTGTGCCCCCCGCCTATACCCTTTGTCGCATCTCTTTATTTTCATGTTCGATTTCGTTGTAGAGTCTGGCCTTAAAGTGGTGGGCGGAGGTGGCGTCCACAACTAAGTTTCTGTCCAGGCCACTTGGGAGTGTGAAAAACAACCCTTTTCCTTGAAGATATTGGTTCATGTTCATTACGAAATAATATACTGATATTCTTAGATTCTGGTGGAGAAGTGAACGAGACAACGGAGACTTAGGAGGAGACGAAAGAGATGAAGCAAGAGAGGAATTATACCAGAGACAAGAGTCTAGATTTATTAATTTTTGTTTAAAAGTATTATTTTCCATTTTTGTTAATATTGATGAATAAGACGGGGGCAATATGCTGACGAAGCCTAACACCGTTTCTGGCACGTCTTAAAGCTGAGTATCTCGAGTGCACATTAGAATTTTGGTGAGGCGAGAGGGAGGTAAAAGAGGGAGGAGAGGAAGGCAAAAAGACAGTTACAGCCCCCCTCCTGTGCCAGGTAAGTCCACTACAAATGTTCTAGTTCAACCTTGACGCCGAGCGGACGTCTGGACACCACCTCCGCCTGGGAGCCGCCGGATCACGTCCTGTTTTCGCGTTTTGCCTTTACTACTGCAGTTTGGCATCCCTCTTCAACGGTCCGGCTGTACGACGCTTGGCGCACATATCGCCTTGGGTCACGGGATTGTTGATAGATTTTTTTGGCGTGTTCTGGCTGGTTCTCCCGGCGGGTTGACGGTGTTCGGGGGCCGGCTTGGCCGAGAGGTGCCGGGGGTTGGTGGGTCTTGGTGGGCTCCTGGTGTGCCCTCAGTCGTGGTGGGTGGTGGGCGGCGGGCTTCTGCTCTGAGGACACTGGATGACTTTTTGCGTTTTGGTTGGGGGGGCAGAGTTTTGGTTTTGCTACCTGGTGTTCTCTGTGTGGGGCGGGGCCGGTGCTGGTCCCCCTGAGGGACTCCTGGGACTCCCCAATCATCTGCCTGTCTGCGTTTATTTGCTGTATGGCATATTAGTTTCTAGTGATTGGCGTCACTCTTTTTGCGATTTGGCTTGGCGTTTCACCTTTCCTGACTTCGCGATTCACCCTTAACGGGTACGCCGGGGCGCATCCGATCCCACGATCGTCGTCGCCCCTAAATTAACAACAACATAAGCCCACTACGGGCTCACCATAGCCCGTGCTACTTGGAACTTTTTGTTCCTAGAAGCTGAATCTTAAACAACAACAAGCAAAAAGGATTACGGCTATTCATGGCCGTGCCACCTCTTGGGTGGCTTAATCTTAATCAAAAAGGAGAATATAAGAGAGGTAAAGAAGGAGAAGAGGCAAAAGAGAAAGTAAAACACAGGTAAAACTAGCTAAGTGGGATACCCCAAAAAACGCACAAAGGACAGAGAAGGAAACAATATACAAAAGAAGAATAGTGTGTCGGTGCTGACCTTTTTAAGGAAGGTGGCGTCGTCGTAGTGGTCGGCGGGCGCCACGAACACCTGCCTGAAGAAGGGCTCCGAGCCCCTGGCCACCTCCCCCAGCACAGAGCGCTCCGTCGGCACGCTGCGCCAACACACAACCTGTCAACACAACACATTATTAATACAACCATTACCAAACACAATTAACAAGGCATTAAAATGTCTCAAAAAAGGTTATAAAAGCATCCCAGTAGATTACTATAAAAAAGGTCTCCCCCAGTAGATTTTTTGTATAGTCTTCCAGAAAATTGTAAAAGTCTCATGTAATATTATTGTAAGCTCGTAACGTGTCTAACCCATAAAACATATCTCGTATGCCAAAAAAATGCTATTTTTGTTCGCTATGACAAACATGTTTGCCAAACAAAATGCATAAATTGAACCTTAGATTATAATATTGTCGCCCTAGTCTTTACGAGCAATCAATCATTGGTCATGGGTCACAACCTCTAATGTAACCTACCCATAACAACCTGCTGGTTGTAAAAAAAAAAAAAAAAAAAAAATCGATTTCGGCCAAAAGACCCAGCTAGCGGGATGAGGGTATTTGCGCGATTTAATCTCAAGTGTGGCGGTATTAACCAGGATTACACACCATGAACCATCACAGTGTTCCCTGGGGAACCCGCTCTCAGCCCTCAAACACTTCCAGGAATATATTAACACCAGAAACACACAGGATCTGAATGCACCATCTCCCTATGGAACGGGGGAAACAATATTACTTGAGAAACCTCACCATTATACACATATAGGAAGTTACTGATACACACACATTGTCGTCTGAGTGTACTCGTCTAGTTGTGTTTGCAGGGGGTGGAGCTCTGGCTCTCTGGTCCCGCCTCTCAACCGTCAAACAACTGGTGTACAGGTTCCTGAGCCTACTGGGCTCTATCATATCTATACTTGAAACTGTGTATGGAGTCTGCCTCCACCACATCACTGCCTAATGCATTCCATTGTGAGCGCCTGCGTGCGCGCAAATGAAAAAGTCTTCAGATGAAAACAAAACGGACGTAGACGAACTGAAACATTTGTACCACAATGACGTACGAAAATTAAAACCACCAAATTAAAAAAAAAATCATTTTAACGGGAAGTAATCCAAGAGGCTACAACAAGGAAAACAATGAGCCAAGTTCTTGAAGATAACTGATTCAACCAGGGGGGCCCATGTAAGGGTATATTCCTCACGAAGACTCCACTCATTGTGTTAGGTAGTCCACCTCACAGTACGGGCCTACCCTCTACCAGTCACGGCAACACACCCGCAAAGGTGACCAGAGGATCAGGTGAGCAGAGCAACAGCTTGCCTGAAGGTGACACAGTTGTGCAGCCACACACGAAACTATTGGGGGGAGTATCTATATAACTTATTCTCGCTGTTTCCCTTCCAAGCGGGACCACATTGTCGGGTGTCCTCGCCGCCTACACCATGAAGGTCACCGGGATGTTCTAGACAGACAACGTACCAGTGTTATGGGAGGGAGCTGGCTATACCATCAGGGACAACACGGCCGTAGGATCTTGTCTTTGACAACTACTTCAGCGCTAAGACAATGTTATGGAGGCACTGCGAGCAAACTAAATCTCTTAGGTACATATATATACTGGACTGGATGATCTTGCAGGACGGCGTTCAATCTCCGACCGTCCAATTGGTTGGGCACCATTCCTCTACTCTGCCCCACACGACAGGCCTACACACCAACCCCACACTTCCTGGACAACCACAACCTGGTCCATCCCATCCCCAACCAATCAACCCAACTATTCCCGAGGAAATCACTGACCCATGCCACCCGCACGCCACAACAGTCACACGGTACAGAGCGCAAGCGCAACTCACGTTCGTGACGCGATAGTTACAAGAGCCAGCCAGCAAGGTCGCCTGGCCAATTAGCCAGTCCCCAGAGCCCAGTGTAACGAGCACTCTCGTCCTCCAGGCCTTTCAGCCCTAATGACGAAAAATATCACCTTGGAATGTTGTCTTTCATCGCCCATTCTTCTCCAGTATGTTCCCTGTTTAGTTCCTCAGGTTGTACAGTGAAGACATGCCCCGGGGAGGTAGACGGGGGTAGACTTGTGATAACTTGGTCCACCAGGCTGTTGCTTGGAGCGGCCCGCAGGCCCACATATCCACTACGGCCTGGTTGGTCCGGCACTTCTTGCAAGAATCTGTCCAAGTGCCTCTTGAAGACATCCACCTTTGTTCCAGCAATATTTCTAATGCTTGCTGGGAGGGTGTTGAGCAGCTGTGGACCTCTGATGTTCAGTGTTCTTTGATTGTGCCTATGGCACCATCTTCTTCTCACTGGTTCTATTCTGCGTTTCCTTCCATACCTTTCGCTCCAGTATGTTGTTGTTCTACTGTGCAAATTTGGGACCTGGCCCTCCAGTACCTTCCATGTATATATTATTTGAAACCTTTCTCGTCTCCTTTCCAAAGAGTACATTTTGAGAGCTTTGAGACGGTACCAATAATTTAGATGTTTCATCGGTGTCTATGCGTGCCGTATATGTTCTCTGTATTCCCTCTAATTCAGAGATATCTCCTGCTCTGAGAGGGGAAGCGAGTACTAAGCAATACTCAAGACGGGACAACACCAGTGATTTAAATAGTATTAACATTGCTGTGGGGTCTCTGGATTTGAACGTTCTCATAATCCATCCTATCATTTTCCTGGCCGCCGCTATATTTGCTCGGTTATGTTCACTAAATGTCAGGTCGTCACATATAATTCTAGGTCCTTTACATGTTTCTTTCCTTCTATGAGTAGGTCTGATTGTGTCCTGTACCATGTGTTTCGTTTAACTTCCTCGTTTCCCCCATACCCAAGTACCTGGAACTTATTACCGTTAAACATCGACCAATAGAAGACTACTAATATCTGCCTGCAGTTTTTTTATTGTCTTCTACAGGAGGTAATTTTCATGCTGATTTTTGTATCATCTTCAAAGGATGACACGAAGCTGTGACTTGTATTTATCTATATCAGAGATAACAATGAGAAATAGCAGCGGTCACTTCATCCATTGACAATAAGAGCTAAACCTGTGAAATTGGCTGAAGTAGAAGTTGTGGAAACCTCCTCCATCCAGAGCTTAAAGAGGACCAACGACCCAGAGCACGAGAACGTCTGGAGCTTTGAACGCTTCAGGATCCAAAGAGCAGCGACCCCAAGAGCAGGGGGACCCCCAAGAGCAGGGGGACCCCCAAGAGCAGGGGGACCCCCAAGAGCAGGGGGACCCCCAAGAGCAGGGGGACCCCCAAGAGCAGGGGGACCCCCAAGAGCAGGGGGACCCCCAAGAGCAGGGGGACCCCCAAGAGCAGGGGGACCCCCAAGAGCAGGGGGATCCCCAAGAGCAGGGGGACCCCCAAGAGCAGGGGGATCCCCAAGAGCAGGGGGACCCCCAAGAGCAGGGGACCCCCAAGAGCAGGGGGACCCCCAAGAGCAGGGGACCCCCAAGAGCAGGGGACCCCCAAGAGCAGGGGACCCCCAAGAGCAGGGGACCCCCAAGAGCAGGGGACCCCCAAGAGCAGGGGACCCCCAAGAGCAGGGGACCCCCAAGAGCAGGGGACCCCCAAGAGCAGGGGACCCCAAGAGCAGGGACCTCCCCCAAGAGCAGGGACCTCCCCCAAGAGCAGGGACCCCCCATTCACAAAGGGATTGAACCCTCGTCCCCGGACAAAGGCACTACCGACTGAACCTTGATGAGCCCATCACTATCAACTATCTCGCCCATTTACACTAATAAACGTACACTCAGTATCAGTAAGTTGAAAATAAAGCCCCCAGACGTGCTCTAAATATCTGGAGACCAAAGGCACTGGGGAAAATATATGGAGGCACTTTATGCCCCAAGACGAGTCTGGAATGGCGAAAATGAGTCGATTGTTCTAGTCATGCCCTAAAGAGACGGTGACCAGGCAGCTGTAACTGTGCTCACAGTAACCAGGCAGCTGTAACAATGATCACAGTAACCTGGCAGCTGTAACAATGGTCACAGTAACCAGGCAGCTGTAACAATGATCACAGTAACCTGGCAGCTGTAACAATGGTCACAGTAACCTGGCAGCTGTAACAATGGTCACAGTAACCTGGCAGCTGCAACAATGGTCACAGTAACCAGGCAGCTGTAACAATGCTCACAGTAACCTGGCAGCTGCAACAATGGTCACAGTAACCTGGCAGCTGCAACAATGGTCACAGTAACCTGGCAGCTGCAACAATGGTCACAGTAACCTGGCAGCTGCAACAATGGTCACAGTAACCTGGCAGCTGCAACAATGGTCACAGTAGCCTGGCAGCTGCAACAATGGTCACAGTAACCTGGCAGCTGCAACAATGGTCACAGTAACCTGGCAGCTGCAACAATGGTCACAGTAACCTGGCAGCTGCAACAATGGTCACAGTAACCTGGCAGCTGCAACAATGGTCACAGTAACCTGGCAGCTGCAACAATGGTCACAGTAACCTGGCAGCTGCAACAATGGTCACAGTAACCTGGCAGCTGCAACAATGGTAACCAGGCAGCAACAATGGTCACAGTAACCAGGCAGCTATAACAATGCTCACAGTAACCTGGCAGCTGTAACAATGCTCACAGTAACCAGGCAGCTGTAACAATGGTCACAGTAACCAGGCAGCTGTAACAATGGTCACAGTAACCACAGCTGTAACAATGCTCACAGTAACCAGGCAGCTGTAACAATGCTCACAGTAACCAGGCAGCTGTAACAATGCTCACAGTAACCTGGCAGCTGTAACAATGCTCACAGTAACCAGGCAGCTGTAACAATGCTCACAGTAACCAGGCAGCTGTAACAATGCTCACAGTAACCAGGCAGCTGTAACAATGCTCACAGTAACCTGGCAGCAGTAACAATGCTCACAGTAACCTGGCAGCTGTAACAATGCTCACAGCTGTAACAATGCTCACAGTAACCAGGCAGCTGTAACAATGCTCACAGTAACCTGGCAGCTGTAACAATGGTCACAGTAACCAGGCAGCTGTAACAATGCTCACAGTAACCTGGCAGCTGTAACAATGCTCACAGTAACCAGGCAGCTGTAACAATGCTCACAGTAACCTGG